CGCGACGTCTATTACATAAAAAAACATAAAAAAACATAATAATGATGTATAAATATCAATAAATAATAATTTGGTTACAGTCGATGTGCGATGCTTTGACCTTCTTCCCACGTGCCTGTATCGTCGTCGTAGAACATACAACTGCATTACAATAACTATTAAGACCTCAAATTCCCTACAGTCGCATTTGTTTTAGTTGAATCAATACATACGCAATCACGAATTTATTATTAATTTATTCTGATGTGGATAATAATAGCTAATAAACGATTGACTATACACTTCAACGGTAATCGTTTATTATGTTAATAGCTGAGGTAATGCACTGATGTTTGCAGTGGGATAATTAATAATTTTTTAACCACACATTTTTGTTGCTCTTTTAAAAATACTCTCTTTCAAAACTCGAATGAGTGATTTTAACACGCTTACATTAGTTTCACGTGTATGTTTGTTGTTATATTGTAATATTGAACGCGTACATTTCTGTTTACACATATAGAAGTTCTTTTTTTGTAAAAGTTCCAAAAACTTAAACTAAATTTGAATACAGTTGGTCTTATATTTTTATACATGTATTGTTTCTTTTACAATAAAAAAAAACCCCAATATCCGTTACACAACGGTAACTCTTAGCTGAAAGACACGGTTTTGCTCGTTCTAGCACAGTATTAATAATTATCAATGTTTATCGTTATGGGCCTTGTCGCGTCGATCGAACGTATTACTACCGCCGCTGGAGGTCAATGGCTACCCGAGAATCCGGAAGGCTGATGGTCGTACACACTGCGGTCACATTAGTGGTAGTGTATTAAGCAGGCCATGCAGTAAGTATAGACTGAGACGTTCACCAGATAGTATGTGGCGAATAGCCTACGAATGAGTGTCGTACTCAAAATACACACTAAGATAATAATACCTTATTGCCTATGTATGCAAGTTTGATAGTCTACAATTTTTACCACCTCGTAACTGACAACGAAAGGCATCGACACACGTTAACGTGATATTGTAAATCCAATGATGTAACGCCAAGACAGTTGTCGGTTGTACGGCATACTTTGCTTTCTTAAATTAATATTTATACATTTAGTTTGTTTGGCTTTACTAGCTAAAACACTCACGGTGATCAATTAGTTGCCAGAAAAATAATACACACTTTCATGTCTCGATTTTTTTTAATACAAATGTAAAATTGGTATCGCTTTAACAGCTTAACAGATTGTGCTCGAAAATAAATATGATTTAATAAAACATTTATTAAATAATAAAAGAATCTAAATGAATATCGTAACAGTGTAAATACATATTTACCCATTCTTTAATCGCCCATAATCCCATTTATTAATACAAAGCTTAATCTTGTGACGGTAAAATTAAAATATAAAACAAAATAACGGAATAGCTGAATATCTTATTTTTTAGTTCTACCAATTATGATTCTCTAAAAATTCAAACTTACAAAAGATATCCAAACAATATTTTTGACTGAAAAAGATCACTCGGCTTTTTTTTATCAACTAGCACAGTAGCGAACTTTATAATGTAGTAAGGTTAACCTTAAACTTCCAAATAGTAAATGACAATAAGATTTTATTAAATATTAATAAATACTCATAAAAATATCATTTTTTATCATTTTTTAACTTAGTTCACTTATTTTCTCACGATATCAGAATTTTAAGTTAACATTCAATGCAAATATTAAAAGACATTGCCTATTTAAAAATTGAGACATAATTTCTGATCAAGCATGTGAATCTTAGTATATGTAATATACTATATTAAATATAGTAAATTCATTGAATTTTAAAAATTAACTAGTTTCCAAAAATTCTCAACTTCATGTGAACTATATTTGATTTCTTTTATATAAACGTTGTGTACATTTTATTTCAACTACTTTTATAATAATTGTTAATAAGTTCTTATATTTATTCATTATAAAATATTTATGAAGAGTAATACACTATAAAAAAAAATATCAACTTTTCATATTAAAATATCCTTAGTAAAATTATGGAAAGGTTACTTAAGTTTAAACTGGGAAGAATTACACATACCTGGATACGTAATGCAATATAATTTATTATGATTTGATATTTTTTTAACACAAGATATCGTAGTCAATTATACCTAACAGTGGCGAAATTTCTTGATTCCCAGAATCTTTAATAATATACTTAACAGCGTCAATTATTATCTAAAACTTTTAATTTGTATTTATTTAAAACGACAACCTATAATAAACATTTTTTTTAGAAAACTCATTCAACGATGCTAAATTATAATAGTTACGATTATACTATCCTAATAATTTCTAGCAAATTTATATAACATTAAATAGTAGCCACACCAACTTCCGGTCATTGTTTTAATTTTAAAACATGATGAAGATATTATTATATACAAATCCGAAATAATGAAGTCATGTTTTGTGTGGGAGGAATCAAATACACAAATTTAAATACACCTAGAAAGTTATTTTACAACGTGAAGTCTACGTATAACGTCAATTGTAATTTAATGAGATTAATTAAACCATATTTTTATTTTAATCATAGATAATTCATACCGTAATGATGTACAGTTGATGTTCTAATGATTATCATCATTTAAATTAACACAGTGAATAAAATATTCATTATCTTATGATAACAAAATCAATATATTTGTTTTTCGTTAATTTTTCTATATTAAAATGCAATTTAATGTTATATTGACATTCAATTAAATTTGACGAATATTACAGAATTATGATTAAAAATTATAACTTCATATATCATATTAAATGAAACACTCTAAACATACAACAATGAAAGTTGTTAAACTGCATACCTTTTAATATTCTTTATTATGCCTATTTTCCTTTATTCAATACATCACTTAGTATAAACTTTAAAATTAAAGGGTAATGTACTTTTCCGTAATTTCCTTTATAAATAATTTCATTATGCCACAATAGATTTTCAAAACAACTAAGAGCCTTTGGCTTCCCTTGGATAAAATTATGATACTAGTAGGGGGTTGTTACCCCCGAAATGATTTGGGGTATTTGAATTTTTAGTCGTAATAACCTTTTGGTGAGAAAATAAAATGATAATAATCTCTCCTCCAAATTATTTTCTGGTTGATGAAATCAATTAAAAACGAATAAATAAATTTTTCTTCGGCTACCAAGTCTATAGTTCCAAAAAATATGATTATATAAAAAAACACATTGAGAAAATGGCTTTTATATAAATTTCAAATTCAACTTTGTAAGTCATTTAAATTCTTAATTAAAACAATTATTAATAGAAAATTGGAATGCAGCAATTGTATGTCTTATTTACAAAAAGGACGTTAGACAAATGTACAATAATTACAGAAGTATAGTCTTACTCAATGTTTCATGTAAAATATTGTCAAACTGAATTTTAGACAGAATGAAGCCATGGACCGAGAACTTATTGGGCGACTACCAGGTTGGGTTGGGTTGGATATTCTTACAATAGATGAGGGAATTTAATAATGAGATGCACATGTTATTTATCGATTTTAAAAAGTCCTATGACTGCATTCATCGTGAATCTTTAACGTTTAGACTAAAGCAATTTGGTTTTCCACTAAAATTAGTCAACATTAATAAGCCAAGCATTTTGAACACGAAAATAAAAGTACAGATAGAAAACTCCTAATCGACAACAACCGAAATTAGAACAGTATTAAGACAAGGATATAGATGATCGTAGATTTTATTCAATATAACAACGGAAAAGATGATGCAATGCACTTGTGTGATCAAAGAATAGTAAAAGTGGATGAGATAAAGTTTTAGATTTAGTACTATCAGAGAAAATAAAGAACTGCTCATTCAACAAACGCATAAATTGTTAAAGATGACAAAATGAATTGAATTAAAAATAAACGTGAAAAAACAGAAAATGATAGTTCAGAGAATATTTTTACAGGATGTACACATTAATCTAGAAATATACAAAAGAGTACAGAAGTTCAAAAATAAAATATAAGAGGAAATAATTCAAAAATACAGCCAGGCAATAGATATTTCTTTAAATTGAACAAGTTAATTCGAAAACGCTGTCTAAGAGTCCAAAGGGTCTGTTGCGCTGGCCATGCATGGAGAGAGGAAAGTTCCCTTATACATATTATTCTAAGTGGTTCTCCAGAAGGTATAAAACCACTTAGCAAACCCAGAAGATGGCATGGATATAAAAGGTTTTAGATTATCATTTACTACTTACTTAATCAAATAATAATAATTACAATTATTTAATTGATTCTTTCAATGACACATTTCCTTCAATTCATCATTCATGAAGTATTTTTTGTGTTCATCCCTTATACATTATTAGGGTGTCGACTATAATTTTTTAAATGGAGACATTTATAATTAACTAGCTTATTTATTACATATTCAAATATTTAATTAAGAAAATGATTCGTCCGTAACAACTTTATTTCAGAATATTTCAGAAATTATTAACTCTTTATACTTGAGCGGTAAGAAGAGTGAAACCGAGAAATTTTTAGTGATAAAAATAGTAGTACCCATTTCTCACCTTCATTCAATACTTTAGATTGTTATTGCCTTTTGAAATACAAGTCAAGTTGTTAACGACCAGACATTTCTTAATTATATGATCATTATCTAATAAATAATTTTTTGATGTTTCCATTTGAAAAAAAAATTGGCACCCTTATAATGTATAGAGAATGAACATAAAAAATACCTCATAAGTCCTTAATGATAAATCGAGAAAAATACATGAAATATATGTCAAATTCAAAAATTCCATAATGATAGTAATTTGTAAAATTGGTTCACTTTAAATAAATTTTTTGTTTTTTTCTATTGAATATTTTAAAGGAATATATTTGTTTTTCATCTTTGTTTCACACTTTGGTTTAACACCTCCGACTAAAATATGACTTCAAATAAGAAATATTGTACACTCTTTTGAACCGAATTTTTTTCAATTGTATAAGGCACTTACCTTCTTTTATAAAAATATTAACATCGCCGTTCGATCGATTTAATCCACTGAGATTACGCACGAGCTTAACTTGCCGTTTTTTGGTCTATTATGTTGTACTATTTACGTTACACGACGATTTGATTTGTCTTTAAACATTATATTCGACATGATTATTACAATTTAATAAACATTTCGCCAATAATAAATTAAGAACAATAAAATATTTTGAGCTGAACCGCCAATAAAGTGACACAGATCACGCAATGGTTTAATGCTTTTAATTATTTTTCTTGTGAAACGTAAAAAATTGTACGTATCGTTTAAAAATAAATGAATATGATTTCACGTGCCATGAAAATAACAAAAACGCGAGAACGACAACGTGTGCGCTGACTTGGACTGAGTACCAGCGATCTGAGCGCGTGCGACTTGGCGTGATCACTGCCGCGACGCCCTCAACGTCTTGTTCTCGTCAGTGTTAGCCGCCGTCGTAACCGTATCCAGCATAACATGCATACCGGCTGTGATCAGATGTGTATTTGTGTGTGTATCACATGTAGTTAGTGGGAGGATCGCGCTAGTAGTTCGGCGTCAGAGTTAGCAGTAGTAGTTGTAATAGTAGTAGGGCCGGAAAGTGAGAGGACATAAGAAAGTCTATTCGTTTTTTATTTTACAGATTATGTTATTTTTTTTATTGTTTCATTTTGCCTAGTGTAACGATTTAGCAAATTGGCTAAGTATTATTTTCCCTAAAATTTGTAGTGAATGATGTAACTCCCATTATCACCGTGTTTCATTTTAGTCAACGAAAAATTTTTCCAAAAATTTTGTTGTTCCAAAAAAGTGAACAATTTTTATGTACCAAGGGAACTTTGAAAGTTAAAAATACTCACTCTTTTTGGATAATATCTTTATTAAGAAAGTTCTTTTGATTTCTGAATTATTCCATAAGGATCAAAAATTCAGACAAATATTTTCGACGCATGAAGGTATCTTTATTTTATACTANCTTATGAAGGTAACTTTATTTTATACTATACCGTTATGTAGGTACATGCCATATACGAATTTTTTTTTAATACTCAGTGAATACACAAAAAATACAATATAAAAAAATATTTTTAATACAAAAAACAAAAATCCTACAAGTCGTTCATGTTTGTTATAACATTTCGATAATATATAAATCACTAAAAAGCGTCATTATATTATAATATGTAATAATATTATTTCAATTTGGGTATTCGTTGCATGATTTTTTTTATATGTAAGTTGATAACCTACTATTAAAGTCTCCAAAAATAAAAACTTCTGTAATTTTATAATATTTTATGTATTACAAAAAAAAAATAATAAATAACTTGTATTTTTCTGAATAATTCTTCATTTCAGTTTAAATACATAATCCATGCACCCATAATTTATGGTACAAAATTCTTGAAATAGTGTACGCTAGATGAAGGGTGAATAAGAACAATATATTATCCTCAAGGTTAGTGTGAATTACAAGAGACAAATTAATTGATGTTAAATTTGAGATTATTCTCGATTACGCCTTTGAAAATCGTAATAATAAGTATGTTTAAAATTAAAAATTATACATTTTCACTTGTTACAAGGACTTATTAAATTTATCGATTTGTTGATAAACATAGGATTTACTAATAATTATTTTTTAATGCTCGCATTCCATTTTAAAAATCTTTGTTGTGCGATTTTTTTCAAACAGCATCCCTACTAATGTTGTTATAATTTTAATATAATTAATTTACTGAAAATTCTTAAGATACAAAAAATCGTATTGAAGTATTGTCGAGTGCAAATTATTTAAAAACCAACGCCCTTTTTACTAAAAAAATAAACAGTTTTAAAAAACCACACCCTTCATAAAGCTAATGTTTAATTCATTATTTTTCTAAACTTCAAATTAATTTATCAAGTGGAAATATTTATTTTGCATAATCTGTCGAAGGTCCTTCAACTATGTTTAAATTTTATTTATCGACTAAACACTACGGATTACTAATAGGTACACAGCTTTGTCATGCTTCTTGATATCATATCATAATAGCAATACAATAAATCGCTACTGTTTGAACAGAGAATTTTAATATATGTAATTGAACTACAAATTGTTATTATTACCAAGTTTTAAAGAACAATCATTAGAACCATATTTTCAAATCATCAAGCAGCATTTCGTTTGAATTCTCAGTCTTGTGGGTACTACCATAGAAAACTCGATTCGACGTTTTCTAATTACACTTAAGTTTGACTTTAATTATTAATATTATGATTTCATATCTTTTTTTGGTTCGCTGAACATGCATTTAATTCATACAGTGCAATTTGTAAGTAATATGATTGATTGCGCTTATTTGAGATGCCGCTACATCCCGTAATGGAGCTTGTATATACATGTTTAAGGAAGAAATAAACAGAGAAATAATAATAACGAGACAGGAGAACGTAGCAGTCGTAATGAGCTGCAGACACATACACGAAGGAACAATGAGATCCGAAGAGCACTTAATAACGCGTGACTTGCGATTTTCACCGCGCGATCGGTTTCTATTCCCTTTATGGTCGGTTAATTGAAAAGTATAACGTCAAAAATAAAAAGATAGACAAAAATATATTATTACTACACAAAAAGAAATGGCATTACGCGTACCAAGTGCTAGATTCGTATAGGCATGAGCCCAGAAAAATATAATCAAAGCAGTTTACTGTATCTGGCAAATAAACCACATGATTAATTATTCTATTTTCATTCAAACAACATTGATCAGATTCTGGACACATCTAGTCGATTTTTATAATATATTGTTCACAAAAACTCAATCTGGAAAATTAAAAAAATTGCGAAATCGATGAAAATTTTGGTTTTTTTCAAGTATAAAATATCTGAATTTTTCTTTTATCAATAGACATTTAAATAAAAATATATTTGTAACTTGGTAGCACTAACACAAATTTCACCTGGCATCGGTATACCCTGACACCACGTGAAGGCTCACATCAACAGAGACGATCGTGATCCGAAATGGCCCATGGATGTGAAGATGATAAAAAAACGATCCTGCATATGAAGCTCTGGACAGAGGCCAAGGACAAGTCGGAAAGCGATCGTATAATCGTGGTATGCAGTGCACTGCGGTCTTTGTAGTAAAGGTCTTTTATAGGAATTTACGAAGTCTTTGCACGACTAGTACTCAGTCAATAATACACATTAAAACACTCTTAAACACGTATTTACATCGAATTCACGTCGTATATTTACTTTCTTAAACTAGTATGATTCGATCTCTTTGAACTTGTAATCAAACCAAAGCAGGTGTCATGTAGCAGTGCTATAGTAGCACACATTATTCATACTTGTACTTACGCAATTAGTATAAATTTATCTCAATAAACACACTCCATTAGTTTGAATTGTTTTAATATTGATAGGCGACAAAGCATTCGTAAACTTTATCGACCAATATATAATTTTTATATGTTGGATAATTTATAATGGATGGTTTTTAATCGCTTATTACTAACCTAAATTGTAAGTTCTCCAATGATTAAAATCAACACAAACTAATAAAGACCGTTTTGGATAAAAAAATATATTTTTATTGTATTGTATGTGTAATTTATTGATACTAAACGGCAGCACCTCGTTAATATTAAATTAATCACTTACGCATGACATTTAAATAGAAATTCTGGAATTGCTTGACCACAATTAAACGAAAATGGACTGGTACTTCTTTGGTAGAGACTAGCCGCACGCAGAACGTTTTCCTACTGTAAGCTATTTGAATAAGACATAATTATTATTGTCATTCAAACGTTTATCGCTATTATCGTTGTACCAATGCATGTATATAAAGGTATGTGATTATTATTATTATAAAGTATCCGTATGCAGTTTAAGTAATAATCGTAACGACTTTTTGATCGCTACAAAAAGCCAAGTCAAATCGTGACATTCTAATNCGCTACAAAAAGCCAAGTCAAATCGTGACATTCTAATTGGACCATATTGTGCAATAGAGATAATATAATAAATTAAAATACGTAATTTATCAAGCATAACAACGGACCTCATAACGATGTATCATTTTTGTTAAACGGTTATATCATATGCTTATAATGGAAAAAATATTACTCAAATTGAATAAAACCCTAATAACCCAGTAAACTTGGACTTTTCCCTGTATTATGAATTAAAATTCATTATGTTACTTAAGTTGGTGCGGTATTTTTTAGAATACAGAATATTTCAAATTTTTTAATGAGATAAATATTGTTGATATCAATAGTTTTCCTACAATTTTCTATTGTATAACACATCAGAATGGCAAGAAAAAAAATAACCATTGCTTGGATATCTTATCAAATATTTAGGTTTATTCGGACGTTTATTTCTTGTTATCATTTTGTGATGACCACCTCTATAGTTCAGTTTTATTCATTTTTTGTGATATTACTTTGTTATATTGAAAAATTATTTTTGGGAAGTTTAATACTAATTGTTTGCAAATTAGCAAATTCTATCTTTAAGCCACGGTCACACTAATTGGTCACCATCAGGGTAGCGGCTATGAGCTTGACAAATCATCTACATCTAAAAATTATCAAAGAGAGAGATCTCTCTTTTGTTTATAATTTTTAGCATGTTATTTAATTAATTCATAAATTTATATGTATACATGTTGCTTGTTGAACTCAATATCACCTTGTAAGTTTATTACCTATTCTATTGGTTTATTTTCATACAAAATGAGCTTTTAATTGTAATACTGTAATATTGTAATGATTAATTAAATCATTTAATTTCATGCATGTTTTGTTTTCTTACTTGTTAGAATAAACATATTTAATTGTAATCATAGAAATAAATTAGTTTTTTCTTTAATTTAATTGTCTATCTTACTGTTGTCTATTAAATTTGTCCTATATATATTCCACTAGAAAACACACAAAATAATTTATTCATTTATTTAAACAGTGCCAGAGCCTCGATCTTATATTATAAACCAGATTACAATTATTTATAATTTTATAGTAAATTTGATTTATATAAAATTAAAATTATAGACTTTTAACATCAACTTAGTAAATGCATAATAGGTGTTTGAAATAAGGTACAATCCTAAGATCTATCGACTTAAAAATAAGAATAAAAATGTTAATTAGTGTTAAACTCATTAGAATATCGCGACAATTCCTCGGCAGATTAATTTATCAAAGGAAAATTTTGCACTATATATATTTTATTGAATTACTAAGTTATTTGTGGAAAAAATAAAATTAAACTAAACTATGCAAAATTATTATATTTTATGTTCAACATTCCACACAATTAAAAATATTTTTTACCATATCAATTATATTATATACTTAAAATTGTATATAATAAAAATTTATCGCTTTTAGTTAATATTATTTAAAATTTAAACTGAATAAATATATTAATTTAAAATCAAAAAATATAGAAA